CACTCTACAACATTTGTCAACGTGGATTTGTAACTCATACAGAAGTGGAAAAAAAAATCACCCGCCATAATAAACGTGGCGTACGTGGGATTGCGTTTCATACAGTGAAAAAAAAACTAAAATTCGCTCACGTTATTTTAATGACGAAATTCCTGTTTCATACGGAGGAAAAAGAAAAAAAATTTGCTCGTCAAATTTTCGGCGACAACAACTAGAATTCAAATTAAAAACATACTTGGTAAAGTTTTTTCGTATGGCTAAACGTCAACTTAGTGACAAAAAAATCAGTCGTATTCTTAACTGACAAAAGAATTTTATTTTTTCTCGATAAGACAGTTTGCTCAAATAGGTCACGAATTACAAATTCGTTTTGGAACCCCCCTCTACAATATTTAAGCATTGTAAAACTTTTTGCGAAGATGGAGGAATGCAAAAAATATATTCCAGGAATTTTTAAAGTTCCAGACGGAACAACAAAAGACAATACTGGACGTACAGAAAACATTCCAGATACAACTTCAGGAGGATACCTTTAATAGACAGATTCAATTTCAACGAGAAATGGAACTGATGCATAAGGAATTTCAAAACAAATTTCTGGAAATAACTAAGAGGAAAGAAGAAAATTTGCAAAATGTTTCTTTCCCAGAGAATACAATATGGAATTCGATTGAAATATTCATGTACAGTCCAGACGAAGAAATAACTTTTGAAGAGTATTTTAAAAAATATACGGACGTGTATAACGAAGACTGTCATTCATGGTCTGAAGGAAAGAAGGTTAGACTTCTTTTAAGCAAGTTAGGAACTGCTGAGCATAACAAATTGGTAAACTACATTTTACCGAAAAAAAACTAGCGAGTTAACTTTTATCGAGGCTGTAAATATACTAAGTGAATTATTTAGTAAAAAGACATCTTTGTTTCACAAAAGGTGGAAATGTTTGAATCTGATGAAAGATGAACAAGACTTTATAACGTATGCAGCTAATGGGAACAGGCATTGTGAAGAATTCAAACTAGCAGAATTAAGCGCTGACAATTTTAAGTACTTGATATTTGTTCAGGGTTTAGTTTCAGAAAGAGACGCAGAATTGAGGAAATTGGTATTTTCAAAATTGGAAAACGAACCGAGGATTTCGGTACAGTTTGGCAGAATACTGCACAAGATATGTTAGCGTAAATAAAGACTGGAAAAAGATAGAACAGTCTGGCGTTTCGCATGTAAGAAAAATACGCTACAAAAGAGAAAGTCAGTCTACCAAAAAGAATTCTAAAATTGGGGATTATCAAACAAAAAGTGAAATACCAGGAAAAATAAACAAAAAACTCCCGAAGCCATGTTTTGCTTGCAGGTGAACTTCACTGGTACAGATATTGCAATTTTAGGAATAAAAAATGTTTCAACTGTGAAAGAGTGGGACATAAAAGCTCGCACTGCAGGTCAAAAAATAAAAACAATAAAATAAGAAAATTAAAGTCCGAAGTGAACGACGGAATAAACAGAAAATTTCTTACCGTCGAAATAAGTAATAAAAAAATAAAAATGCAACTCGACACTGGTTCCGACCTATCTATCATAAATTTGAATACGTGGAAGAAGTTGGGGAAACCAACTTTAATGAAGACAAATAAAATCGCGAGGTCCGTGACAGGAGAAAAAATACAATTTATTGGAGAATTTGTTACAAACGTCACGTTAAATAAAAAAAAAACGCGAAAAGCTAAACTATTTGTCATGAAAAATACCACGAACTTACTTGGTACGGATTGGATAACAGAATTTCAATTATGGGATTTACCAATTCTTTCTGTTACAAGGTTGAAAATTTAAACTGCGAAGGTAAAAAATTAGTTAGAAAGCTAAAGAGAACTTTTCCTACTGTTTTTTTCTCCAGGTTTGGGAACGTGTACCAAGATGGAGGCAAAATTACAGCCAAAACAAAGGGCTCAGGCGGTATTCAAAAAGTAAAGGAATGTGCTGTTTGCTTCAATTGAACAGACAGATAAAGAATTGGACAGATTAGAGAAAACGGGTTTATTTAAAAATATTGAATGGGTAACACCTACAATATACGTAAAAAAACAAGCTTCCGAAAGTAAAAATGAAGCCGACACCGAAAAAAACTGAGGAACAAATTACGCGCAGCCAAGGAAATGCAGTATTATTAAATGATTTAAGTCAACAAGAACCTACAGAAACTGTGAGTCCATCTTTAAGAAGTTCAAAGCGGAAAGTTGTTTCTGGTAACGCTTTGGAGATATATAAAATAAAAAAAAATAAAAAATAGAAAAGCGGATTGGCTATATGACGTACTGGGTGAAAGGGGAAAAACTCACGTGCAGTAAACAGATCAGACGACGTTTTTCAGACGTGGTTGACAGCGGTCCCGCGAAAAAAAAAATGCCGATGGTGGTGATTTTCAATAAGTTTGATCTAACAACCCCTGCAAATAATTTTACCTAAAGTACACCTACAATATACGTAAAAAATAAGCTTCAGAAAGTAAAAATGAAGCCGACACCGAAAAAAACTGAGGGACAAGTCACACGCAGCAAAGGAAATGCAGTATTATTAAATGATTTAAGTCAACAAGAACCTACAGAAACTGTGAGTCCATCTTTAAGAAGTTCAAAGCGGAAATTCTATTGTAATGCACTCTCCCATAGATAAGTGGCAATAGCGGTCGCCAGATCGGGCTCAGTGGTGTTTAGCGCGTCAGACGATATCGGACATTGAAGTACGAACCATCACAACTAGATTGCTGCGTCAACTCTTATTTTCAAGTTCCTAACGTTTTGTACGTTGAACCTAATTTAGGACGACTTCTTGAAATACAAGCCTCCACTGTGAAAAATTACTCCACAACACATACTATAAAGTAAATTTATTTAATAAAGTCGCCATTGCATTTAACCACGGCCCCCAGGTGAATTCTTCTAGAAGTCTTCCTTGTTTAAGTTGGTGAATGCTGCTATATTCCTTTCCTTCAGTTCATCTTTGATGTTACGAGTAGTTTTGTTGGTCTTTCGCTTAACTGTGCCCCACGCATATTAATCAATGGGGTTGCAGTCTGGGGAGTTACGTGGCCAGATGAAAGAGGTGATATATCACAGAAATTGTCTGACAGTCATGACTGGGATCCCCTGCTTTGTGGCATGGTGTAGAATCCTGTTGCCTGATATAGTGTCTTTCAGTAGACGCCCTCTGCACACAGCTTCTACTGCTTGATGTAGGCCTCCGTGTTGAGTTTGAGGCCCTCGCCAACAAATTCGGGTGTTCTTTTTTGATAGAACAATGAAAGAACAGAATAAATATCTGATGATTTTAATTAAATTGTGAGAGATGTCATATATATATATATATATATATATATATATATATATGAGAGAGAGAATGTAAAAAAAATAAATATATTACAATAAGACTATAGTCTAGCTATTGCGTTTAAGCATGAAACAGACGCCGTTTAACGTGTTGACCTCAGTGTCCACTTTTATATTAACTTACATTCTGTCTCTTATAGTTAACACTTTAACCCATAAATACAGCACAGACTAAATCTATATTTTATCATATATATATATATATATATATATATATATATATATATATATGCAAACTATGTTGAATTAGGTTATTTGATTAAAAAGAAACCACATAGTCTATTTGTTTAATTTTTCTAATATTTTTCCAGTTTTCGGATTGTCATAGGTCCTTACCTATAACTACAGAATGAACTCTTCCTAACAATATGTATACTACGCCCCTCAAGAGAGAGGGTCGAATCGAGTCGAGCTCGGGAAGCCCACGTTAAACTCGGCCTTGTGCTACATGCAACCCTCGTGGTGGGGTGGCTAGATACCGAATCGAGTCTAGCCGTTTCGGCTTGACGGTCGAACTCTCTGCCTCTGAGCAAAGAGGAATCCGGACGAGGCTCCGCCGAAGGGTAGAGCCTAGTTCAGGGAGGTTGACCAACCCGATTCTGTTTTTACAGTTTCTACGGGCATTTTTTGGCCGAGCCTACGGGCTTGGAAAACCCACGTTAAACTCGGCCTTCTGCCATATCTTTCCCTCGTGGGGGGGGGGAAGTAAATATCGAATCGAGTCGAGCCGATAGTAGTTCACTCCAAACCAGACTGACAGTCATACTAACACCTTCCATATCTTGTATTATTATTTAGTGTAATATACCTTCATTATTTCTACTCTTGTGTTCGTGTTGTTCTTCCTTGGTCCTAACCTGGCCCATAACACGGATAATGTATTGTGTATTGTACTCGCAATTGTGAGACGTTTATATTTTGTTATTTTCGTCCAATGATTTTCGACTATCGCAGTCATTATCAAAAATCATTGTGGTCTTTGCATGGTCGTTCGGATCCATTTGTCTGAATCCTGATATTCTTTGGGAAGCCGGGAATATTCAGGAAATTTTATTAGAGAAAAAAAAACGCCGGAGGGGATATGTTTCTCTAATAAGACTTCCGGAATATTGAATGCCGGTAGACGAAATAAGATACCGTTGGAAAAAGGAATCGAAGCGTGAAATGAAATCCATTATAAATACTGTTTAGGGAAATAAACATATACACATGGACAAAACTGCATTGATATATATATATATATATATATATATATATATATATATATATATATATACGTACGTACACATATAATCTTGCATCCATATATTTGTATTTGATTATACAGGATGTTGCAGTAAAATCCGACATTTGACAAAAAGAAAACGAAATAGTCAATAAAAACAAAAGTTGTATATGCAGAGAACCTACAGTTTATTTAGCAACAGTTAGTTACATACTAGATTATTTTTCAATGTCACAGCCGGTGGCGACGACCATCTCAAGGCGGGCGCGAAATGTGTCACACGCTTTGGCGACCATGTCCTTGTTTATAACGGCGAACGCCTGCACGATAGCAGCCTTCAGAGATTCGACCGTGTTGTGGGCGTGCTTATTGGTCTTTGCCTCGATCACGTCCGAGAAGAAATAGTCAAGGGGGTTGCAGTCAGGTGAGGAGGGCGGCCACATGTCCGGGCGACCAGTGGTGAGGAACATTGTTGAGTCCTCGACTCCTTGGAGGCATTCGTGATGAGCATACGGTGAGACTTGCGGTAGGAGCAGTCACCAATGTTCTTGATCGTTCAGCAGATCGTCGACTTGTGACAGCCCATGTCAGCGGCGATTTTAGTGTAGCTCTGGCTTTCATCATTGTCGACTGCCTCCTTGACGCCGGCAACGAACTCATCGGTCCTAACGTTGTGGGCCATTTCGTTAGGCAGTAAACTCGTCCTTGTTCTCACACGCCTTCCACTTCCTCCAAATGTCCATGACCATGGTCCTCTTGAAATCAAACCATGCCATCACTTCCGCATGCTTCTTCCCGACGCGAAAAGAAGCTACTACCGCTGTTCTGCGCACATATTTCATCTTGCAAAATGGTAGAGAAAAAACGTTAGTTAGTCGTCAAACTGTTGGATATCTGCATATACAACTTTTCTTTTTATTGCCTATTTCGTTTTCTTTTTGTCAAGTGTCAGATTTTGTTGCCACACCCTGTAAAATATATGCAAAAATTAACATGATGCAAAATATATGATATTTGCAAGTTATCGCAAAGATGCTTTATTCTAAAGATTAAAAGACAAGCATTCACCAACTTAAACAAGACTTCGACTTATGATCATTAATCAATTCAATTATGTGCCATGCGTGATCTTTCGTTACATGACTGACGAGGCAGATTTTTTCCCTCAGTAGGTTTCCATTTGTTTCTGTCCTGGTATTTATTCATAGCTGGGAGAAGAAGGAGATTCATACCTTTTCTTTTACCTTTCACAAGGATATTAGTACGTAAATAAATGTAATTGATTCGACTGGAATTCGAACTCGGCTCCCCAGTTCCTGAATCCGGGCCGCTGACCATTATTCCACCGTTCTTCTTTCTTCATATATAAAATCATAATACTTTTCTATCCGTCCTTTTTTGTCATGGTTAGTGAATTTGATCCTCACTAGGTGCCTCATTATTGTGGTCATTTGCAAGACAATAACTACATCCTGAAATTCTGACTTTAACAAACTAGCTGAATATAAAAAAAAAGTAATGAGAAACTCACAAAACATAACAAATGTAGTGGATTATGTCAATTCCTTATTGTAGCCTTGTGCCAGACAAAGAAAGATTCGAAAATAATTAAAGTTACTTAGCATTAAATCAAAGATATACAAAACAGTAAAACTTAAACAAAGACTTTCTTCATGTCAGTCAGTCATGTGCTATGCGTGATACATGCTTAGGCAATCATGTATCTTTCGATACCTGACTGCCGAGACAGATTTTTTCCCGCAGTAGGTTCTCATTTCTTTCTGTGGTAGACCAGTTGCTATCCAAGGCTATAGAACCCAGTCTGTCCTGCGATTTACCCATAGCTGGGGAAAGAAGAAAAAGATTCATACCTTTCCTAAGAGTATTACCACATAAGTGACTGTAATGGATCCGACTGGAATTCGAACTCGGCTCTCCGATTCCTCAATCCTAGCTGCTATCCATTACTCTACCATGCCTCCAAAATCCTTTTCTATCTGTCTTTTTTTTGTCATGGTTAGTGAATTTGATCCTCACTAGGTGCTACATTATTGTGGTCATTTGCAAGGTTGCAAGACAATAAGTACATTCTGAAATTCTGACTTTAACAAATTAGCTGAATATAAAAAAAGTAATGAGAAACTCACAAAACATAACAACTGTAGTGGATTATGTCAATTCCTTACATTTGTAGCCTTGTGCCAGACGAAGATAAATTTGAAAATAATTACAGTTACTTAGCATTAAATCAAAGATATATTTCCCATTTTCACTTGAAATGCAATCACCACTTCTACTCAAGCAGTTTCTTTTCTCACACTTCCTGACTGTGGAACTCCCTTTCTATTACTTGCTTCTCTGATAACTACAATCTTCAAAAAATTAAATGCAATGTCAATCGCCATGTTTTGTTACTTTGATCCTTGTTCTTCTTTTATCCTTTCCTTAATCTCCTCTATACACAGTCTTTTCACTCTCTGTAACCCCCTGCATGCCAATGGCGCCCCTGCTTTGCTTGGGGTGAAATGCTTAAAAAACAAGGAAATGTTTTCCAATCCACCTCAACTTGAACAAATTCTTCCTTTAAGTATAAAAGCAAAATCCTTTTCTATCTGTCCTTTTTTTTTTTGTCATGGTTAGTGAATTTGATCCTCACTAGGTGCCTCATTATTGTGGTCATTTGCAAGGTTTCAAGACAATAAGAACACCCTGAAATTCTGACTTTAACAAATTAGTTGAATATAAGAAAAAGTAATGAGAAACTCACAAGATATAACAACTGTAGTGGATTATGTCAATTCCTAATAGTCGCTACTATCCCAAGTCAGGGTGGGCCTGGGAACAACAACAATTAAGAGCTGGATCCACGCCCCTCAAAACCTTCAATCTCCCGATCAGAAGCCTCGCTGCCGGATGTAGTTTATCGTTATACCCAAGACTACAAAGTTCGAAAAGGATATAATACATAGGAAATCAATCAGTTATGTGCTATGCGTGTTATACCCTTAGGTGATCATGTATCTTTTGATACATGAATGACGAGGCAGATTTTTTTTTCTTGCAGTAGTTTGCTATTTCTTTTGCAGTAGACCGATTGTCATCCATAGAACCAGGCCTGTCTTGCAATTTACCCCATAGCTGGGGAAAGAAGAAGAGGATTCATACATTTCCCAAAGGTACTATAAAGTAAGTGAATGCAGTGGATTCGACTGTCAATAGAGTCATAATAATGATAAAAAACAGAAGATGCGCATAAAAAGGATGGGATACGAAAACGAGGCAAGTCATGGTTCCTATGTCGTTAATGATGGCCAACTGGGCGCGACTTTTTTAGAACTAAAAATATGGCGTTAATCATTGGACTAAACATTTGCTAATGATTATTTTTGAAAGGATATCGTGGTTATAAAATTGCTTCTAAGTAAAGCAAATTGTGATAATGTCGGCCATTATTATTTATTGTTTCAAGAGAGAGAGAGAGAGAGAAAGAGAGAGATGAATTTCACTGGAAGGAAGACAAAGAATTCTGGGCGTTGTATGCATGGAAAACAATTAAGAAAAAAGAAAGAACGTTAGAAATTAAAGTAAGAGAAAAATGTGGAGGTTATAGGAGAAAAGTTAAAAGAGCAAAGAAGATAAATGAAACGATAAGAAGAACAAATTATTCAGAAAGAGAAAAAGATAGAAACATATATAATTTAGCATAGATAAAGATATAAAAAGTGTACATAGATAGATGGGTAGAAATAGATAGATAGATAGATAGATAGATAGATAGATAGATAGATAGATAGATAGATAGATGAATAGGCAGTCAGATGTTTAGATACGAAGAGTAACGGTTAGATAGTCTGGTTGATGTATACATAGGAAGATAGAAACATAGATAGATAGATAGATAGATAGATAGATAGATAGATAGATAGATAGATAAAAAAACAAAAAGTTAAAGAGAAAGGAAGACGGAGAGATACAAGGAGACTGATAGCTAGCTGGCTAGCTAGCTAGATAGATAGAGAGGTAGAGAGAAACGAAGATAGATAGAAATGAAGTGACTGATAGATAGATAGATAGATAGGTAGATAGATAGATAGATAGATAGATAGATAAAAAAAATTAGAGAGAAAGGAAGACGGAGAGATACAAGGAGACTGACAGATAGATAGATAGATAGATAGATAGATAGATAGATAGATAGGTTGGTAGGTAGGAAGGTAGGTAGATAGATAGATAGATAGATAGATAGAAAGAGGAAGAGATAGAAAAGTGAAGATAGATAGATAGATAGATAGATAGATAGATAGATAGATAGATAGATAGATAGATAGTCAAATGTTTAGATACAAAGAGACTAATAGTCTGGTGAGATTTATACATAAGAAGATACAAATATATATATATATATATATATATATATATATATATATATATAGATAGATAGATAGATAGATGAAAGAACAGAAAAAGAGAAACAGAATATTACGATCTAGTAAGAGAGCGTGAATAATGGTACAGAGATAAATAGCCACGTAGATATACTGAAAGCATAGATGCGAGTGGCGTCGAAATCGATAAACAGGGAAAGAAAGCGAAAGACTGAGAAAGAGAAAAAAGAGAGAAAGTGGCAGATAAAGACAGAGAGTAAGGGGGTGGGCGAAAAGAGATTATGGAGAAGGAAGAATAAATAAAGGGAGAATGATCAAACTGTGTGAAGGAAAAACTGTGAAAAATGCGAGGAAACAGTGGAGAAGAAGAGAAATGGAGAGGAGGAGAGACAGGTGAAAAAGTGAGAGAAAGAGAAAGGAATCAGTAAGAGAGAAGTATCAGGAAAGAGAAAGAAAAGAGATAGAGAGCATGTTATAGAGAGAAAATATCCGAGAGAAAGAAAGATGATAAAGAGAAATAAATAGGATATCCAATGAACACGTCAATGGAAGAAAAAAAATGATAAAAAGAAATATTAATAGTAAAAGGAGACAAGATGCCGGAGAATGAATCCGTTTGTTTTAAATGAGTTTGACATGGACAGCATATATTTAAAAAAAAAAATCAGGACTGAATTTATATGATCAGAACTTATTTACGACCGGGGTGTTGAAAAGTTCACTGTCTCTTTACTTTACAACCGCTGTAAGGTTGGCTCTGTGTGTCTTTTCTATAAATACTTTCATGGTAATTGTTAAGAGGTCTACCCGTTTTTCATACAGTACTCGACCAGTGTGTACTTGGACTGCTGCCATTAAATACCCAGAGTAGATAGTCAGAGAAGACAGAGGTAGTGATTGTGATTGAGTTGGAGGTAGAGTAATAGTGTGAGGTAAGCGCTTGTAGAAGTAAGAGTTACAAGCACGTAGACTCTAAGGAAGTCCTACTTCGAGACTGAATTTACTCAACTGTATATATATATATATATATATATATATATATATATATATATATATATATATATATATATTACTATATTACTATTGCTACTAACCGCGTTTCTGGATTTACTAACCGTATTACAAATTGTATTATTGTGTAAATACATTTATTTGTTATATTTCATTCCTGCGTTTGTCATTCATTGGAGACCGGATTTCATCACGGAACCCACAACAGTAATTGTTCGGATGGACTCTCCGCTATAGTACCGAGATTTTTTAAAAATTTAAGCGCAGCAGTAGACTGACGTCGAAATCTCATCAATTTGAGCTGGCCAGATGTAGCCATAAAGTTGGTGCTAACAGCTTCTTTTCTGGCTTGTGGAACTCCCTTCAGGCTCCATGTTTTCCAAACAACTTTCATCTGCAAAAATATTAAATGCACTATAAATCGGTATATACTTTTATCTTGATTATTCCCACTGATTGTTAATGTTTATGTTCCTAATTCTTCTACACACTGTAACTCCTTGTGTCTTAGCGGCTTAATTGCCTTACATTTAGTGATACCGACTAAAAAAGAAAAATAAATCTTACTATGTGTTGTGTCGGAAACCTACCACCCACTCTTGAAGATGAACTTGTCTGCGTCTGTGAACAAAGACTTTAAATAGTGGCATGTCAGTTGACATGGGGAAGATAGATAGACAGAGAAGTTCTTAGCTGAGCTAGTTATTGACTACTCAGGCGATTTCTGTACCTTTTTACCAACCTATTAAAACCCTTTTTATTATTACGTGTTATTTGGCGTTTGTCTCTACTAACCCCAAATCAACATCATAACACTATGCAAGAGTAATGCTAGAGCTGTGAAATCTTGCATGCATTCATTTCAACTCTTCTGCATTTAATAACATTTAATAACTGTACTGATTATTTTCAGGTAAACTTATAACTGGCTGACTTTAGCTCGAAGTGATGAATCCAACACTCATCTTTGTTAGGAAACGTTCAAAGAAACCAGAGGGATCTGCCTTAAACAATTTCAGCCTGGTGCACATTGGATTAGATTTCAGAAGACGTGGCACCCACCGAGCAGAAACCTTCATCATGCCAGGTTCATCTTCTCAACTCTCTCTCAGGAGATGCTAATATCTTCTGTTTGCTTTGGTTTGTTGTGTTTTACGCCATATCAACCTCAATGGGTTATTTAACGCCGACAACTTTTTTTTCTGGTGCTGGTGTGGGGAGGGGGTTAATATTTGATTTTGTCAAAAATCTATTTCTGGTAATATTTTTTTCCTCAAAAATGTGTAGCTGTTAATATTATTTTAAAACGTGTATTGCTGGTTACGTTTTTTTTTTCAAGAATATATTGCTGGTAATTTTTTTTTTTCAAAAATATATTGCTGGTTAATAGTTTTTATTTATTTCTAGTAATAATTTTTTTACAAAGTATTTTTGGCATTAAAACCTATTTTTACACTTATAGAATGCTTTTTACTTCAGTTTCGAGGTTAACTATTTGCCCATAGTTGGGACCCTAACAGGTACTACCACCTCGGGTCAGGGTGGATCTGGAAACACCAGCAATTAAGAGGAGGTTCCACGCTCCTCAAAACCTTTTGATCCAAGGCCTTGCTGTTTGAGGTAGTTTGTCGTCATACCCGGGACGCGGATGTAGTTTATCGTCAGACCCAGGACGCGGATGTATTTCATCGTCATATCGAGGACAGTAATAGCTTTGGTTATTTGATTTATATTCAATCCCCTGTCATCTATCACCATGTGGTGAACATGATCAATGTTTTCCTCGGTGTTGACAGTTTCAGGGTATTCATCTTAAGAGATTTCCCAGCATTCAATGCAATAGAAGAAGAAGTATATCACATAGCAATCCAGCACACTTTTCATTGTTTTAAGGCTTTTCTTTACCTCTTTCTCACCACCTTGCTAAGATTTTGGAATGCTAATTTTGCTAGTCCAATGCATGCGTTATTTTCCATCCTCTGTTAAAACATTTTCAAACCAACGCTTTAACCCTTAGGCGATTGTCCCGCGCTGTAAATAAAGTTCGAGATTCGGCTGAAAATTTCATAGGAGTGATGATAAAGCTGTGAAGTCTTGCCTGCATTAATTTCGACTCTTCTTATTAATAACTCTACGTATTCTTTCCGGGTATACTGAGTGTTCAACGATGTCAAAAATCACAAGACTTCTCTAGAAAATTGACAAAATGTAGCATCATGGTATTATCAAATACCTGCATAAAAGGGTTTATCCCCTAAGGACATTCATACTGACATTCGAGATAACACCGCAACTTTATCAACAAAGCAAAAGTGAGCACTTGAATTTAGGAGCGGAAGGGAGAGTCTTGAAGATATATGAAACAGGAACATAGAGTTACCAAAAAGCCATGAACCTATTTTATATATATATATATATATTTGAAATGGTACATCTAACTCACTCATGTCTTCTCTCCCACCTCACTTCCTCACTTCCTTAATTTTACATATGCTTGATGCGGTCCGTCAAAAACGTGTGAATTTCTCTTCATTTTTCATTTCAACCTTTGGAAGTAAAGTCTGAAGATCCAGAGCCCTGTTAAAGGGGTTGTGGTGAAATAACTTATTACATGGAACCTTAAAGTGGTCTGTTTTTTATTCAAACATATCTACTCTGAATTTTACATTGAGCTCTCTGGATATCATCCTCCTCAGGTCTACCCATACGGATTACCTAGTTTGCATAAACTATATATATATATATATATATATATATATATATATATATATATATATAGTTGTTCGAACCGCTGCCGTATTTCGTATAGAGAAAAACGTTAAAATTCCTTCCTTGAATTAATCGGATGTCTAGCCACACTGACGAGTTGTGATATAGCGAAACAGTCTGTCTGTGGATGACTATATATATATATATATATATATATATATATATATATATATATATATATGTGTGTGTGTGTGTGTTCATATATATATATATATATATATATATATATATATATATATATAAACATATGTATGTGATAGATTATATTAAATTGTTCATGGTAATATTAGCCGTTCTCCTACAAGAAAATATTTAGCATTCATTTAACGAGCAACCAGTACTACTCTCAGTTGTAATTCCTAAAATCTTTAAACTATTTTTACGAAAATAGTTTTCCTAAGTCCAGGAGCTCTTATCGTTCTTTTCAACATTGATGGAGGTTTCCTTCCTAACCTTTTATCTAAAGTAGTGTGGAATGTCGATATTTTGATCATACAGTTATTTTTTTCTGTCATTTACACGCCCTTTCCAATTCAGTTATTGCTGTTGTGATGTAGTTTCTCTTATTTGGTGCAGTGGTTTGTTTGTGATTCTGTAACGCCAGTCCTCTATGTCCAGAGAAGTTTGTTGAAAGCCATTTATAACTATTGATTGAAGCAGTTGTATACAGCTGACACTTTAGATATTTCTGAACAAGGTTGGCGGCATGCAGGACATCAATATGAAATGTTTAAGATCATGAATGGAGTTTTCAGGATTGATGTTTTGGCTTTGTAGCAATTGGCGGCGTTGGGGGAAACTACATCTGATTCAGCGACTCCTATGTTCCATCTCTTTTCCCCCTATACACGTCTTCGTTGGTTTTATCTCGTATTAAATAAATTAATTTTCTTTATGGTGATGGTGTTGATGACTACTTCCTCCGCCAACGTGTAGGCGATTAGAAGCTTCAAGTTTCATCAAATCTATTCCCGTCATCCATTTTATATAACCTTTTGGATTTCCAAGAGTTGGTTGAGGCTGAAAGAAAATCAGACTAGAAAAACGTACCGATGCCGTGAATTTGTTTAAAGTGAACCTCAACATTTTCTTTCATGACCTTTCCCTGCCGTACATAAGAAATGAGATATGAAAAATATAGTTATGAATTTACTACAGACTGCTACTGTCTCTGTAATAATTTCAAGCGACGCCTTCTGTAACATGTCCATCAGACGTAGCCCTCTTTATTCACTGGCTCAACCGTTGAGATCTCTTGTAATCATCATCAGTTGGTTCTGGCGTTGGAGTCTTCGCGATTAGTCTGGGTCCTCGTCTTCGACCTTACTGTCAAGGGTGAACCTACCAGGAGATAAGAACTCCCGACGGCATCGCTTTTCAAATGTTTGGACCACGTAAGACCCTCCACTACGACGCCGAGTGACCATCAGATGTACTCACATAAAAACATCAACGTATACACACACATATATTTTACACTAGATACTGGAGTAAACAATCCATCAAATGTTATTTTAATGGCATTAGAAGAAACAAAACAATTGGTTCTCTGTGTCGCGTCAGAAGGTTTTTCCCGCCTGTGTCCATCCTTCAAATCTACCATTCGTCCTTGTATTGAATACTGTTGCCATATATCGTCTGGTACCCCCGCCGTGCATCTCGAGGTCCTAGACCAAATAATAGAGACGGATATGCAATATGATAGGTCCTGATCTGGCATCTCGCCTACAGTCACTTTCTCACAGACGTTATGTGACTCCCATCTGTCTTTTCTATAAATATTTTCACGGCACCTGCTCTGACAAGTTATTTTCACTGATGCTCTATCTGCATGAATTTAAGCGTGCTACTAGGTCGGCATCCCCGTCCCACCCTTTCACTGTCGAAACAGTTAAATATAACCGCCTCTCCTAGTCCAACAGCTTCTGTCCTCGCACTTTCCGCCAGTTGAACTCCCTTCCTCTTACTTGCTTCCTTGATAGCTATAATCAAATATTCAAATGTAATGTCAATCGACATCTTCTAATGCTTTGATCTTGATCCCTGTCCATCTCTTTATCCTTTCTTTGTGATCAGAAACAAGATATGTTAAAATAATTCATATATGAAACATGTAAAAAATTTCAGTTCAGTATAAAAGATCAATAAATTATCATTTTCTTAGATAAAGCTTTTAAAGGCAATTTCCTGAACTACATTCAATCAAAGGTACATGGTCATGCTACTTGAAAGCAACAAGTTATTTTACCGTCTTCCTCTCATATTAATCCTAGTAGATGTAAAAAAGTAGATTTGGAGAGAAATCGTGGGAAAGGTAAATAAAACTGAACCAATTAGTCCTGACGGACTTCACCCCAGACTTCAGACTGAACGGTATTTAGTCACCCCCTCCCTCGAGGGCATCATGTGGCACAAGGCCGGTTTAACGTGGGATCTCCGAGTCCGTGGACTCGGCCAAAAATATGCCCTTTGAACCCGTATAAACGGTTTGCCTCCCGAAAGAGACTCCACCCTTCGGCGTAGCCTCGTTCGGGTTCCTCCCCGCCCGAAGGCAGAGAGTACAACCGATCAGCCCATCAGCCGATCAGCCGGTCGCCCGACTTCAGGCTGAACTCCCTGCTTCCTCTTGAGGCGCAGTATTTGTTACGTATGGAATAGTCCATTATGTTATTATGGGTAAGGTCCCATAACAGTTTATGACAAACAAATAATAGGAAAGAATTGTATAAGTTTCACTGATGGAGAAACTGTCCATACCTGAAATGTACAACGGGATGAGTATTTTTTTCACAACTATGAAATATGTCCTGATTGTGAAGGCTGCTTTTTGGGAGATGTTAACACGTCTTTCTACAACGCCAAACCGATGAAAAAAGTTTGAGCTTCATGACCAATGTTGAGCCTCATGACCAATGTTGGGCCTCATGACCAATGTTGAGCCTCTTAACCAATGTTGGGCCTCATGACCAATGTTGAGCCTCATGACCAATGTTGAGCCTCATGACCAATGTTGAGCCTCATGACCAATGTTGAGTCTCATGACCCTCATGAAAATGGATCCAGCCAGGAAATAAAACCGAACCATTTAGTATGAGTTACTAAGAAAACAGTTTATGACAACCAACTAATAAGAAAGAATTGTACGAGGGTCGTTGTTTGATAAATGTACCTAAAAATTATGTTTGATTAAGTGTATCTGCCATCACTGTTTCGTTTTTATTCTAGATCATTGTTTCTGTTTCGGAAAAAAGTTTACCGTAAGTCGTACTTCTTGTAACACTTGGTAGAATATATGAGTTTCTTTTTACGATAATTCTTAAATAACTATGTATCAGAATAAGCACCACATCACAATTAGTACACTAGCCACTGGAGAAAAAAACAGTATCCCGTTTTCTACAAGTAGATCTACTAGTACAGTGGTCGGCAACTTTTTAGTGAGAGCCAGGCAGGCAGCTGTACCGTGTTTCGCAGGTGGTCCATGCTATCAAATATACTATAATAATTTGTCTCGACCTCGCACCGCACTGTGCAGGAGGTTGCCTTGGCCTGAAGCTTTAAGGAAAATCAATGAGGTTAATGTTATATTATTTGAACAAGTTTTAAATAACAGGGTAACGCCTGCAGGAATAACACGTTAACAACTAACACAATCAACAAAAAAGTTAAATTCCTTGCCACGTTTAAGTTGGAGGGCCGGACAAAAATCCTTCGCGGACCGTACGTGGCTCGGGGCTTGACGACTCCTGTACAATTAGACATATCCTGTATCTGACTATATCGTTGAGATGATTGTGATTACTTACATTATCTACATTATTAAGACAGTTGTCTTCATCTTCATTACCATATTCGCAAAGTTTCGGCCGTTGTACGCTCCGACTTTATTCAGATGATTGAAATTTCAAACCGAATCATTCATTTCGTCCACCGGAGTACATTGTTCTAGCTCAACGTGCCGTGCCTCTTCCGGATGTCTCAGTTATCTCCCTTTAACTCAACATTCCATGTTTTATGTTCTGGATGTGGATGCGGTATCGGATGTTTAAGCGATGAATGTCCATTTATTCAAATCTGTTATTTTATATATGCCGAGAATAATTTAGGAAGATATTAAAAAGATCAGGGTTAGCATTTCCTGTTTGTTGTACTTGTGATTGGGATTCGAATGATTCGGAATAGGGGCCTTCGGCAGATATAAATAAAACTTTCTGGACAGTTATATTTCCTCTATTAGATGTAGACATTCCAAGGAATGACGGCTTCAAAGACGGTTTCAAAAGCAAGAGAAGAGGAAATCTCTATTGATCTGGGCGTGTGCTGCTGTGAGGTCAACACGGCAGGCATACAATTTTCATTTGATAGGCAAGCTATTTCTAGCAGATGCTAAACGCCATATACGCCATCACAACAACCTGTACTGGAACGAGAGGCAAAAATAGCAAAGATTAGTTAGTAAGAATATAGGCAGTTGGAAAATAGATGTATGTAAAATAAGGTATTTATATCATTATTATATAATTAGCCGTTTTCTCTGACTCTCTCTCTCTCTCCACACACACATACACACACATTCACACACACACACACACACACACACATATATATATATATATATATAAATGTATCTATCTATCTATCTATCTATCTATCTATCTATATATATATATATATATATATATAAGTAAATACATACACACATATATATATATATATATATATATATATATATATATATATATATATATATATATATATATATATATATATATATATATATATATATATATATATTATTATAAAACGATGCTATATAATAGAGCTATAAAGTATATATTAATGAATATACAATAGACTCATAAAGTATATATTTGGACTATACATACACACACACTTTGGACACACACAGACACACACACACACACACACACACACATATATATATATATATATATATATATATATATATATATATATATATATATATAGTGCAAATGGTGTGGGATATTTTTATTCATTGATACACACACACACACACATATATATGTATATAAATATATATATATATGTGTGTATATGAAAATTATAAGAGCCTGTTTATATATATATATATATATATTTCAGTAAAAGCTCTGTTTTTAATTAAACAATATTAATTACATTTACCGGCCTGAAATAATTGTTAATTAATAACATACTTAAATAAATTGTATCTATAAAAAATTACGTATAATATAATCTATTTTCCGGACCTAATTCATTTAATGAAATAATAATAATAATAATAATATCTCGAGGTGGTGTAATGGTTTGCAAGCTTGTCTCACTAGAACAATATGGACTGAGTAGTGAATTCGATCCATACTAGGTGCCCTTTAATATCGGAATTGTGTCACATCTAAGCTACGCTTGGTAAAACACTATATATATATATATATATATATATATATATATATATATATATATTTTTATATATATAACGAATCACTATTTTGTATACTTTTAAAAGCGATTTTTTTATTTTTAATGCACAGACAAATGTAAATTTGATCTACTTACACATTAGGTTCGTTTTTCGGTCTTAGCGATTTTTCAAAAGGGGTGTCTGTTTATTTTGAACGCTACTAGAGCTATTAACATTTTTACGCTTTACAAAAGAATGGTATGATGGTTCTGACATAATTTATCGTGGAAATTTAATGGACAAAAGGAATGAAATTGAACAATCCCCATCGAGAATGTTCAAAATGAACAAGGTTTCATTTTGAAAAATCGACAAGGTTGAAACAGGCTGTTAATAGACAGATAAATCAAATATATATATATATATATATATATATATATATATATATATATATATATATATATATATATATATATATATATATATATATAACATGAGGAAATGTACTTGTATCAATAAGGCGGTAGTGAAGCATTTATTGTATATAAATATACGTAGGTTAATCAATTATATTCGTTGATCAACGATAAATAAACTCATTTATCTTGCCCAACAATTCTTTCTTTTTCAATATAATCAGGTTTGACAGTAGGGCAACGAGATTAAATCGAAAATACATCTTGTATAAATTAAATACATTTAATTATTTTGGACAATCCATTATTATTCGTGTTTTTCTCTCTTGAGTTCATAATTTTTTATCTATCTATCTATCTATCTATCTATCTATCTATCTATCTATCTATCTATCTGATTATATACATATCTATCTATCTATCTATATATCTATCTATCTATCTATCTATCTATCTGAGTATATTAATATCTATCTATCTATCTATCTATCTATCTATCTATCTATCTATCTATTAATATCTATCTATCTATCTATCTATCTATCTATCTATCTATCTGAGTATATCCATATCTATCTATCTATCTATCTATCTATCTATCTATCTATCTATCTATCTATCTATCATTTTGTAAGTTTCCTTCTTCTCCGTGCATCATTTTGTATATAAAATACCGACCTTTA